ACCCGCACACACACCAGCCATGAGTGTGCACTCTCCAGAGTTTCAGGTTCTTCTACTGGAGTTCAAAGCTGCATCTGTCATGGCTGTGTGTACCTACCCTTGGCTTTGTGCCCACAATAAGTTCCCAGACAAGTGCAATAAAGGAAGATTGGTTTACAACTTGAAATAAAAGTGATGGAGTACATGGCTGCTGGCTCAAACCGCAAAATTGCAATATAAGCTGGCAGCAAATCACAAAGTACATACGTCTGAGCAGGATCCCTACGTAACCGCCTCCAAAGCCAAAAGAGCAGGCACAGACCCACTCGAAGGCATACCTTGCACAGTTTCTGGTTGAAAGGACATGACCTTAGTGGGAAATGTTGTTGTTGGCATCCGTCTGTCTCAAGAGACAATGGAGTGTGCCTCTGGGGGTGAAGTCAAACCACTGCGTTAGCAGCACCCAAGTTACCTCCCCGGGGGCCAGATGAGACCCTGGTCAGGGCCATTCGTCCACCATTTTGCTTTGCTGACCAGCAGCTCCACACACACAGCGCAGCATCCTTGAAGACACAGAAGTTTTTGCTCTTTCCTCCAATGTCCTTTTCCTGATCCAAATTCCCCCCTCCCAAATTCTACAAGGGGGCCAGACAGTTAAAATGTCTTTTTTTTTCCTTTGGGGGAAGAGGGATTAAGGTTGAGGAAAGTACTTGCAAATGGGAACTTAAGTGCCCTTCCTCAGCCTTCCTCCAGATTGGTGCTGCTAATTAGCAAAGCAATCTCCTTGGGGGCAGCTCATTGCAGAACCTCTCTGGCCTCCCCCTTAGCCAAGGCTTCATTTCCGGAAAAAAGAGCAGCTGGGACCCAATTCTGCTCACGCAAAGCTATCTCATCTGCAAGTTCTTCCCCAGCTCCGGTTCTTGCTGTGGCTTCTCAGAGGTGCTGAGAGAAGTGTACTCTGCACTTGCTCAGGGGCCCTTGAATCTTATCACTGCATTTGAAAAAGTAAATAAATTGGAAGTGTGGGGGGTGAGGAACCATGGAGAAAGAACACAGTACAAAACAGGGAAAGTCAACAGGCATCTAAACAAACAGCACAAATCATTTTTATTTGATTTTACAAATATGAATTTATAACCATGCCAAATACACAACCATGTAGAGAGATCACTCTGAATCTCAGGTCTTCCCCCCCCTCCCTCCCATGTGTCCTCTTGTCAACATTTTCAACTGCATATTATTTCATAATCTCTATTTTATATCTATCCATATTGTCCATAGTATTTGTTACATTACAAGTGAGATTAAAATCCTGCTAATGTTTTCATCTTCTTACACTGGTCTCCTAAATAAATTATAAACTTTCCCCATTCTTTCCTGAATTTCTTGTCTTCTTGGTCTCTAGTTTTCGGGTCAATTTTGCCATTCCGGTGTAAGTCTAACAGCTTGGTTTGCCATTCCTCTCTGGGGCTCTTTCTTCTTTCCATCTCTGAGCTAGTAGCATCCATGATGCTATTGTCATGTACATAAAGAGTCTTTTCTGTTCCTTCAGAATGTCGGTATCTATAATTCTTAATAGAAAGGCTTCTGGGGTTTTTTACAAAAGTTATTTTAAACATTTTTTTCAGTGCATTATATATCATTTCCCAGAAAGCCTTTATTTCCTTACATGACCACCACAGGCATCTAAACAAACCAGCACCTCTAATTCTACAAATGGACGCACACCCTCCAAGTGTCCCAATTTTCCAGGGACAGTCCCAGAATTATGAAACCCATCCCAGCTTCTGATGTGATTCCAGAATGTCCCTATTTCCCTGCAATAGTCTCGCAAACAAGAGATAGTAATCTAAACTTCAGTTAACAGGTTAAGGACACTTTATTCTGATAGTTTTGGTTTCTCACTTGGTGAACTGAGAATAAATTTCATGACTTCCGGTTTGCCGCGGACCGCATCGTAGCACGGATATTGTCCTCCAGGAAAGGCCCTGTCAGGCCCGATCTTCTGAAGGGTATGGGCCGGGGAAACGCAAGGGCGCTATGTACCCCTGTAAAAGGCTCAAAAGGCTATTTTGATCACCTGGATCTGGCTGCACTTGTCAGCAGACTCTCCCAGCCCAAACCGCGCTGCAAAGAGCGGAGGAGAGGTGGGATCGAGTCGTGAGCGCTGGGATCTATTTGATTCCCTCGGAAGAGAAGCCTCAAGCTTCGAGTGGATAAAGCAGCAAATTTTCCATAAAATATATAAAAAAGCCGAAGGAACTATCAGAAATTTGTATTGCAATTTGGACTGAAATTGGTGTTGAAGACGGGATGAATAAAGGAAGTCCGTCCCAGCTGTGGTGAGCTTTATGGGGACATTCTACAAGTGCGAAAGGTTCTTTTTCCCCCCTTTTGACTTTGCCTACGCTGCCAAATAACTTATCCTATACAAATTACATGGTGAATTAAGGGGTGTGAACCCCTCACCTGTGCATTGGGGGGCACCCCTTTGGAAATCAACCCACCAATTGCAGTGTGCATCCAACCTGTGATCCATCTCAGGATCAGCAATGCTGTGGGTACAGGTGTGTGGCATCGTGGGTCATCAGTGATGTTACAGGTGTATCTGGGGCTGGGATGGAAGGGGATGGGTAAGTTTGTACCAAGAGAAGGAAAAGCCAAGTGGGAGCAGGTTGGGGCTGGAGGGAGGAACCCAGAGCCAAACTGGAGAGAGGCAAAGGGGAAATAAATAGGTTGGGATGGAAAGGGAGAAAGCGATTTCTCCAAAAGTGCTAGCTATGGCCCCCAACCTGCAGAGACCATGTGAGACCCTTGCAAGGCAGCCTCCTCTTGCACCAGCTGGCCTTGGCATCCAGGCAGTGGTCAAAGGCCCCTCGCTGAGGGAGGTGACTGTGCAAGTTCTGCCTCTGTGGGCAACGTGAGTCCTCGGGGGCAGGAGCCCAAATACCCCCATGGGGCCCTGTTCCTCCTCCACGTCCTCCTTCCAGCATATTCAAGGGGGCGGCAGCACCCCACTCCTGAAGTGCAAGAGGAAGCAGGAAGGCATCACGGCGTGTCCTGTGCACATCCAGACCCAGCGTTCTTCCCGGGGCCCCGGGGCTTCTTCACAGCTGGGCCAAGTGGGGCCGAGCGATCCGTGTCTGCAGGGCGCAGGGAGAGAAGGAGGAAGCAGAAGAGTGAGGCAGGGTCAGCGGAAATGACAAGCACCTTTCAGAAAGTGCCCCACTACTCAGAGCTAAGGTCCACCTGCAGCAGCGTCCGGATTCTGGCCAGATGCCCAGAAGAAAAGCCCATAAGCAGAAAATGGAGCCAACAGCCCTTCCTTGCTGCTGACGCAGATCTCCTGCTATCTCCCTGAGCAACTGGCAAACAATGGTAGACTGCTTCTGATCCTGGAGGCTCCATTTCACTATTCTAACTGGTAGCTTTGAACTGATGGACTTCAGGTCTGCCAGTAATTTGGTCCACCTCTCATGCCACACACACACACAACCACACGCCTTTAAAGCTCTCCAAGAGGTAGCAGCCTCTGCCACATCTTGTGGCAGGGCGTTCCATATGTCAATTATGGCACCAGTGTGAAGAAAGACTTTCCCCCCATTCTGAACCTCCTGCCCTTTGGCTTTGTGGAATGACCTCGTATCATGAGAGATAACCCTCCTCTTGTCCACTGTCTGCTTACCACCCATAATGCTATAAACCGATCATGTCCTTTTTTTTGTATTCGAAAAGTCCCTGTCCTTTTTGGGAAAGGGCTTGGCTCTGCCCCCGGATTGTTCTGGCTGTGCTTTTCTGCCCCACTTCTAATCCCTGCCTGCTGTCTCTCAGCTGTGACACACACACCGAACCCCAAATGCCCTCGTTTCTTGTACCGGCAAGGTTGTATCCACCGTGTCCAGCCGTGGTCGGAAGGAGCTGTCTCTGTCACCAGCGGAAGGGTCTTCTGTGCAAAGGGCGAAGTAGGAGGGGGGCATGTCAGTCATTTTTTAGATTTGGGCTTCCCTTCTCCCCAGTGCAGCCTCTCCACTTGCCCACCCAAGAAGAAGAAGAAGAGTTTGGATTTGATATCCTGCCTTTCACTCCCTTTAAGGAGTCTCAAAGCGGCTAACATTCTCCTTTCCCTTCCTCCCCCACAACAAACACTCTGTGAGGTGAGTGGGGCTGAGAGACTCCAGAGAAGTGTGACTGGCCCAAGGTCACCCAGCAGCTGCAGGTGGAGGAGCGGAGACGCGAACCCGGTTCCCCAGATTACGAGGCTACAGCTCTTAACCACTACACCACACTGGCTCCCAGACCTCTTCCGAGAAGGGAGCGGCCTACAAAGCACAGCCAGACCTGCTTTATTTTTACAAAATGCATTTTCAAAGCTCTGGCAAGCAAAGTGGTCTTCCCTGGTGTGATAATGCAGCCCATAATCAGGGCTGACGCTCATCCTCCCCCTCAGGTGCCTAGCGCTCCCTCCCAGAGCACAGAGTACATGAGAACCCCACATCTCATGTATTTATTTCTATTTCCCTCCTCCTTCTCCTGGATCAGGGCAGGGTGGGGTGGCAGGGCACGGAAAGCCCTTCCGCCTGATTGCAGTTTGGGGACGTGGCTGTGTTTGACCTCCCCTCTTGCTCTTCCCTTTCTTATTTCCTTATTTCTGCATGTGGGGTGGAATGTTTCTGTGCAACTTGAACCCCTTCTGCAACCCTAAAGGTAAAGGTAAAGGGACCCCTGACCATTAGGTCCAGTCATGACCGACTCTGGGGTTGCGGCGCTCATCTCGCTTTATTGGCCAAGGGAGCCGGAGTACAGCTTCTGGATCATGTGGCCAGCAGGACTAAGCCGCTTCTGGCGAACCAGAGCAGCGCACGGAAATGCCGTTTCCCTTCTCGCCGGAGCGGTACCTATTTATCTACTTGCACTTTGAGGTGCTTTCGAACTGCTAGGTTGGCAGGAGCAGGGACCGAGCAACGGGAACTCACCCCGTCGCGGGGATTTGAACCAGCAACCTTCTGATCGGCAAGTCCTAGGCTCTGTGGTTTAACCCACAGCGCCACCCACGTCCCTCTGCAACCCTGGACCATCTATAATTCCATTGACGTATTTTCTTTCATGCATTAACCCGCTGGGCAAGGGAAGAAGCATACTTTGGGGACCAGCAGTTGACATGGAGACCAAGGCATGCCACCCCCGCCATGGCCTCCCTTTCCTGGCCTAGACCTTGCCCCACATACCTCCTGTGGCAGTTGCTGGGGTACTCGGAGCAGGGTGTTCGGGATGGAACACCCAGTAGGGCTCATTTTCATAACGCTTCTCTTCATCGGGAGGCAAATGCGTCAGCCTGGAAGTGGGAGACCAACAGAGGCCATCAGGTCAAAGATCTGTCCTTCAGCCCATTTCAAGAACAGCTTCCAGAGTCAGTGCCAGTTAAAACAGCAGAGACTGACCGGGACGCTGACTGAGCTGACCGGACTTTGAGTGCAGCTGCCCAGCCCTCCTCCTACCTGTGTCCTTTCTCCCTCGGGCAACAGCGCCTCCAGCAGAGAAGCACGACCAAGACCAGGATGATCAGCAGCAGCACCGCCAGGCCCAGGGCCACCCCCACGGCCACCCCCACCTTGCTGATGCCCTGCTCACAGCGCCGGCCCACGAACCAGTAGGAGTCCGACTGCTCACAGCTGTGGGAGGAAAGGAGGCGTCAAAAACCGGCAAGGAGGCAGGTAATGGGGCCCAGGATGCCTGGGTTCTTTACGGGGTGGGGAGCAGGGGGTGTTTCTGATGCTGCAATTCGGGGGGGGGCTGAGTGGCATCCAGGGCCCTAATCCAAGGCAGGAGCGGTGGTGACTGGTGCCCACGGGGAATTGCAGCAAAAGACAACATGCACATGAATGACACTGTTTTCTTAAAAATGACATTTAAGTGGTTCCTACTAGCACAGCTGCTTTTGAATTCTGGTGCTGGAGGAGACTCTTGAGAGTCCCATGGACTGCAAGAAGATCAAACGTATCCATTCTGAAGGAAATCAGCCCTGAGTGCTCACTGAGTGCTTCAGATCGTGAAGCTGAGGCTCCAAGACTTTGGCCACCTCATGAGAAGAGAAAACTCCCTGGAAAAGACCCTGATGTTGGGAAAGATGGAGGGCCCAAGGAGAAGGGGACGACAGAGGACGAGATGGTGGGACAGTGTTCTCGAAGCTACCAGCATGAGTTTGACCAAACTGCGGGAGGCAGTGGAAGACAGGAGTGCCTGGCGTGCTCTGGTCCAGGGGGTCACGAAGAGGCGGACATGACTCAACGACTAAACAACAACTAGCACAGCTGGGAGGAACAGCCTACGGGCACCACCCACTTCACCCCCTGGCATGCTACTCACTAGCAACTGGGCCCCTCAGGGGTGACATAGCAGTTTCCGTTCACACATCTGAAGGGGTCGGGGTGCCAAACGCTGCAGTTAGAGACGCACTGGAGGCTGCCACTGATGTTTCGTGCCACGTAAAATTGCTGGATGTTTTGTGCCACCACGGAGGTGTTCCTGCATTCTTTTGACAGATCTGGAAAGGGAGAACGCAAGCGCCCCTTAGGAAACCACCGCATGCTTGAGACCAGGAGATCAGAAGAGGAGCCTGCTGCAGGATTGGGTCCGAGGCCACAAGGGTTCAGCATCCCAGAATACTCAGCCACTTGTCTCTGGGAAAGGCACCAGCAGAAACACTCTCTGACTCTGCTTCTCCCAGCAACTTATACTCAGAGTTAGACTGACCCTGAATAGGGAGGTAATTTACAGCCACAATGCCATAAAACCCTTTTCTCTCATCCTCCCTTGAAGCCATCCAGGCTTGTGGCAGAGAATCCCACAGGTTAATTGCACTTGATGGGACAAAGGATTAGCCTCTGTGCATCTCAGTTGTGACTGCACTTGCAGAATCCTGGCAACATCTGCAGTGTCCACACCAGCAATGCATTTGTTTGCATGTGGTGGCCATGCTTTCTTCCTCATACGGCTCCACCGCCCCCATCCAGACAGCCCACTGCAACTCTTCAACATTAGGAGTGTGTTAAGCACACAGTGACCTCCTCTCACACCCCAGTCCTCACCTTCAGGGCTCAGGGGCACTCGAGTCGCACGAGAAGCTCCTTCAGTAAAGCAGAGCTGATCTAAAGGAGAGGAGGAAAGCAAAGGTGAGGCTTCTGAAAGGAAGAAATCACAGGGGGGGGGAGCATCCAAGGGGAGGGACATCTTCCCCCACCCGCCCGCCATGTCTCCCTGCCACCAGTTGAAGGAAACACACTTCCTCTGCCATCCCTCCTCTGTTCAGCCTGCACCCTGACATCCGTCTCTGCTGGGGTTGGTTGATGTGAAAGGGGTCTGTCACTGGGTATCCCCTCAGCATGCAAGAATAACACTAGCTGGCCTCAGATCTGGCATAGATGAAGCTTGCTGCCTGTGAAATGGGCACACTAGGAAGACTACGTTTTTTGCCAATAAGCTTCCATACTTCTGTTCCTAGAGAAAGAGCATGATTGCTTGGATCCGGGGAGCGGGGGCTGGGCTTGGGCTCAGAGAAGCTGCTCAGATTCTGTAGAGAGTGGATCACCGGCTGTCTCACTGCTCCGACTGACAAGTAGAGAAGTGGACAAGCTCTTAAGTGCCACTGATGCAGGCAGGATTTACTGTATTTTTCACTCTATAAGATGCACCAGACCATAAGACGCACCTAACTTTTTGGAGGAGGAAAACAAGGGAAAAAATATTCTGAATCTCAGAAGCCAGAACAGCAAGAGGGATCGCTGCGCAGTGAAAGCAGCAATCCCTCTTGCTGTTCTGGCTTCTGGGATAGCTGCGCAGCCTGCATTCGCTCCATAAGACGCACACACATTTCCCTTTACTTTTTAGGAGGGGAAAAGTGAGTCTTATAGAGCAAAAAATACGTCACTCCCAAATAAAAAGGGGCAGGATTGCTGCCCTTGGATGGCCTCTGCTTCCTCGTGGCATCTGATCTGGAGACGTCTTCTAAGGAACCTTTTCCTCACACTCCACAAGCCAGATATGGGGCAGGAATGTAGTGGCAAGAGGTGCCCCATGGCACGCAAGCAAAGGAAGCCTTTTCGCTCATGAAGCTGCCAGCCAGCCAGTGGCAGCTGCTGCCTCACCTGTTTGGTTGAAAGTGCAATTATTTTGCAGGACCTGGAGGATGTCCTTGAAGGATGCCTCATAGGAACCACTGAAGTTCGAGAAGGGCTCGCGCAGGCGCACCTCGTGCTCCACGATGACACTGCCTCGCCTGGAAGCAAGAAGGATAAATCGTTTAGCCCCAGCTGCGAAGGTGCCCCCAGTTGGCCTGTTGTGAGGCGGGTTGACATGGCCTGTTCAGGGAGTGTGGTGTTTTACATCGGGCGCCAAGGAATTTGGTGGAACCCAAAACCACACTCTCTCCAATGCTTGGTCGCCAAACTTATCTATTCTTTTTTTTTTTTAGATATTTATTAAAGTTTTTAAAGTATAACAAAAAAGATGAAAAATAAAAAGAAACATACAAAATAAAAACAGTTAAAAACACATTAATTTTCATAACATATCTTCCTTACGCTTATTTCCCCAGACCTCCTCATACCTCCCTTTTTTGTATTCCAGTTCAGTTTGTTAGTTCAGCAAATCCTTACTGTCAGAGCTGCCCCAGGTCCCAGCTCACAGAGGACCAACGCCAGTCCGTTGTTATATTAAATAGTCTTTATTGAAGTTCAGTTTCTCATTCACAGCCACGGCGCGCAGCTCTACGTCTTAAACCCTAGACCGCCAAAGCTCCGTCTGAGTCTCCTCCCCCCAGACACCAGTTTAAGACCCTAGCCTTGCTCCACCTCTTCCGTTGTTCTTTCCTCCTCTGGGCCCGCCTGTCCGCTGGGGTCTTGCCCTTCCTAGACTCTTCTGAGGCTGACTCCCCCGAGTCTTCCCCCTCCCTCCGGCGGGCTTTAGGACCTGGTTCCCAATCCGGGCTTTCTGCTGTCCCGCGCGCCTGTACATTTGAACTTGGCGCGCGCGCCCAGCCTGCCACCTTCCTTCTGACCGTTATACTGCTCCTGTCACTGCTCCCCTCTTCGGGGACGCTAGCTGGGCCTGACTCCTCCTCCCTGCTTGCCAGAGGAGACGCTGACTCTGACCTATGGGACTCTTCCCCCCCACTACGCTCTGGTGGGGAAGCTGGCCCTGATTTCCAGCTACTGCTCTGGGAGTCTCCGCTGGCCCCCTGCTTCTGGTGTGTCCCCCCTGGGACCCCCCTTGCCCTGGCCATCGGCACCCCCTTCTGGGAATCTTCTGATTCACTGGAGAGGCTCATGGAATCTCTCGGGTCGCTGTCATTCTGCCCTCCGCTGCCCTCAGATTCCTCCCCCTCGCTCTCCATTTCCTCTCTCCCCTGTGCCTCTGCTCCTGAGCCCCTGACACTTACCATTAAACTTTAACCCATTTGTAAACCTTTTTTTTTCTTTTCCATATCTCTTAAAGCATTACAGCTGGAAACCACTTATTTTCTATCCAACATCCTTCTAACATTCATTAATTTTACAATATTTCTGTAAATAGTCTTTAAATTTCTTCCAGTCTTCTTTCACAAACTTATCTATTCTGTGCCTCACCTCAGATTAATCACATGTATGCCCTGGTACCCAAAAACGCCCGAATAGAAGATGTTCATCTGCACAGAGAGAGAAAGAAAATCTTAGCTCCGCTGCAGTGACAACGGAATGTGAGGAGCAGATCTGGCCAGGAGCAGAGGAGTTACTGGCACTTGGCAGCATCAAGAGCTTAGAAGGTGTGCGTGTCAGCAATCCTGCTGATGTTTACAATGTACCAAAAAGGCAATACCAAAAATCAGAAACAACAAAAAACTCCACATGTAAACTAGTTTGTTGATCTGAGAAATACTAAATCCCCCATCCCAGCCGATTCTGGGTCCCTCCTGTGTGCTGAGTAGGGCCTCTCTATCCTGCTATGCTCCTTTACCTCCTCCACCCTTCCAACACACCTTTGGGGTATCTCCTGTGCTGGGCATGGCTAGTCGGTGGCCCTCCCCCAGCTGTTCTTGGACTCCAGTTCCCAGCAGGCAGCCTGGCCAAAGGGATGGGATGATTATAAAGGCTGGAAGATGACCTTTGCCACTTTAACATTGGTCTTTCAAAAGTGACAATTAGGAAGACGGTTCCTGATGACTGTATTAGGGTTTGAACCATCAGTTCTGAGTTACAAATTACAGAAACAGCTTTCTATACTCATCTGATAGCTACATTTCCACATCTGGATATTTAGGTGTTCCAAAGGATGGAAATCGACCTGTGTTTCCAGATGTGCTAAGCGGACAAATCTCTGTTAATGAAGTTTACTACAAAGGAATGGCATGTTAATGGGACCCAGACTCAAAAGTAACAATAGGTCTGCCTGGAAGTAATCATTTTCCTTTAGTGGGCGTCCTCTATGCACTCCCAGCCACCCCTCACCTGTTCCACAAAGACATTCACGAATGAATTGAAGTCACGTGAGCCGTAAATCGCCATCTCTGGTCTAAAGTCCCGATTCTTCACTGTTACAGAGACATGGATTATGGCCACAATAGTCACTGTGATCAGAAAGCACAGGAGTCATTAAACATGAAGGTACAGCCACAGTTTCAGATGTGAGGATAAGCACTTCAGGTGTCCATTGAGTCACAGTGATCATGGAAACAACATGAATCACCTATGGATCTACACCAAGTGTACAGAGAAAGGGCATTGGTACAGGTTATGAAATACATTGGAATGTGCGTGTATCAGCTCAGTGTAGTTAGTCTACTCTTGCTGACAGGAACTCTCCAGGCCCTGAGGCAGGTGACATTCTGTTGCTCCTGCTGGTATCAGAAGCTTTTTAAACTGAAGGTGTCAGGGTGATGCCGCAGAACTAACACACCACTTTGAATCAAGCAAGTTGGCCGCAGGACCACAAACATTGCCCACCTAGAAAATTACTACACATACCCGGACATTCCTGAGCTTTTCTTTTCAAAGGAAGAACCAGAGGGCGGGAGGTTTGTACTAATAATTTGTACTAAGACTTACCCACTTGGATTTCATTCTTTGCCTCTTCGCAACGTCGCCCAGTATAGGGAGACGGGCAGTGACAACGACCCCCAACAAGGACTCCTCCATTAAGGCACCTGAGAGGGACAACTGTGGTGGAAGGAGCTGAGGAAGAGGAAGAGAACAGAACATTAACAATATTTAAGAACAAGCAAACAAAAGAGCCCTCATATATGATGATGATGATGACAATAATAATTTATATATTGTACAGCCTAATGCTATTATTTCTAAGTGTATAGTGAGGCTGAAAGAGCAATACATAAAATCAATTAGAATTAATCAGAACTTTAGCTGCTTGCTGAAATCAAGAAAGCCAAGGCGTTCAATAAAGAATGGTTCTCAGACAGGAAGGAGTTACATGGTGGCTATAAGTCGTGTGCCTTGACTCATGAGGGACCACGTAGAAAACTCCCACAAGGATATAACACATTAATAGGTATTGAAGATATTCTGGACTCAAGTATATTAAGGGCCATGTAAACTGATGCAAGAACTTTGTAATTCGCCAAGAAGCATGATTGCAACAAGTGCAAACCATTAAGCCTTGCAGTCGTGTGCTAGGAGACAAACATCATTTCCAAATGAAAATATAGACCGCTAACAGAGGAACTTTTAAGTTCAGAAGGAGTCAATGTGTGTGAACGGGTAATGGTGGAAGGGAAGGGGACCCCAATGGTGGATATTTTCATACCGGTAGATGTAGATGCCTTCGATGTGCTTGTTTCAGGACGCTCTTCTGTGGAACTGGAGGAGGTGGTAGATGGACTCAGCTTATCTGTCACACTACTTGTTCTTAGGATCGCTGTAGTACCCTCAATGGAAGGGGCAGGCAACGTTGACAGAGAAGATGTCCCTGCAGTGGATGGTTCCTCCGAGGTGGAAGAAGAGGAGGTCACTGCCTGCGTAGTACTACTGTCTCCTGCTGAACTCTGAGTTGAGGGTCCATCTGCAGTGGTGGTGCTTGGGGATAAGATAGATGTAATTGTTTCAGAACGCTGTTTGGTGGAACTGGAAGAGGCGGTAGGTGAACTGACCGTTTCAGTCACACTAGTTGCGCTTAGGATCGCTGTAGTAGCATCACTGGAAGAGGCCGGAAATGTTGACAGAGAAGTTGTCCCTGGAGTGGATGGTTCCGATGATGTGGAAGAAATAGAGGTCACTTCCTGAGGAGAAGTAGTGCCTCCTGCAGTACTCTGAGTTGAGGGTTCAGTTGGAGTGGTCACACTGGAAGAGGCGGGCAACGTTGACAGCGAAAGTGTCCCTGCAGTGGATGGTTCCTCTGAGGAGGTGGAAGAAATGGAGGTCACTTCCTGCGGAGTAGTAGTATCTCCTGCTGTACTCAGAGTTGAGGGTTCAGTTGCAGTGGTCACACTGGGAGCGGCAGGCAATGTTGACAGAGAAGATGTCCCTGTGGTGGATGGTTGATCAGAGGTGGGAGAAGCAGAAGTCATTGCCTGCATAGTACTAGTGTCTCCTGCTGTACTCTGAATTGAGGGTTCAGTTGCAGTGGTCCCACTGGAAGAGGTCCTCAACGTTGACAGAGAAGATGTCCCTGTGGTGGATGGTTGCTCAGAGGTGGGAGAAGCGGAGGTCCCTGCCTGTGTAGTACTAGTGTCTTCTGCTGTACTCTGAATTGAGGGTTCAGTTGCAGTGGTCACACTGGAAGAGTTCCCCAACGTTGACAGAGAAGATGTCCCTGTGGTGGATGGTTGCTCAGCAGTGGGAGAAGCGGAGGTCACTGCCTGTTTTGTACTAGTGTCTCCTTCTGTACTCTGAATTGAGGGTTCAGTTGCAGTGGTCCCACTGGAAGAGGTCTGCAACGTTGACAGAGAAGATGTCCCTGTGGTGGATGGTTGCTCAGCGGTGGGTGAAGCGGAGGTAACTGCCTGTGTAGTACGAGTGTCTCCTGCTGTACTCTGAATTGAGGGTTCAGTTGCAGTGGTCCCACTGGAAGAGTTCCCCAACGTTGACAGAGAAGATGTCCCTGTGGTGGATGGTTGCTCAGCGGTGGGTGAAGCGGAGGTAACTGCCTGTGTAGTACGAGTGTCTCCTGCTGTACTCTGAATTGAGGGTTCAGTTGCAGTGGTCCCACTGGAAGAGGTCCCCAACGTTGACAGAGAAGATGTCCCTGTGGTGGATGATTGCTCAGAGGTGGGAGAAGCGGAGGTCCCTGCCTGTGTAGTACTAGTGTCTTCTGCTGTACTCTGAATTGAGGGTTCAGTTGCAGTGGTCCCACTGGAAGAGTTCCCCAACGTTGACAGAGAAGATGTCCCTGTGGTGGATGGTTGCTCAGCGGTGGGTGAAGCGGAGGTCACTGCCTGTTTTGTACTAGTGTCTCCTTCTGTACTCTGAATTGAGGGTTCAGTTGCAGTGGTCCCACTGGAAGAGTTCCCCAACGTTGACAGAGATGTCCCTGTGGTGGATGGTTGCTCAGAGGTGGGAGAAGTGGAGGTCCCTGCCTGTGTAGTACTAGTGTCTTCTGCTGTACTCTGAGGTGAGGGTTCAGTTGCAGTGGTCACACTGGAAGAGTTCTCCAACGTTGACAGAGAAGATGTCCCTGTGGTGGATGGTTGCTCAGCGGTGGGAGAAGTGGAGGTCACTGCCTGTTTTGTACCAGTGTCTCCTGCTGTACTCTGAATTGAGGTTTCAGTTGCAGTGGTCCCACTGGAAGAGGTCCCCAACGTTGACAGAGATGTCCATGTGGTGGATGGTTGCTCAGAGGTGGGAGAAGCGGAGGCCCCTGCCTTTGTAGTACCAGTGTCTTCTGCTGTACTCTGAATTGAGGGTTCAGCTGCAGTGGTCCCACTGGAAGAGGTCCCCAACGTTGACAGAGATGTCCATGTGCTGGATGGTTGCTCAGAGGTGGGAGAAGCGGAGGTCCCTGCCTGTGTAGTACCAGTGTCTTCTGCTGTACTCTGAGGTGAGGGTTCAGTTGCAGTGGTCCCACTGGAAGAGTTCCCCAACGTTGACAGAGATGTCCATGTGGTGGATGGTTGCTCAGAAGTGGGAGAAGCGGAGGTCCCTGCCTGTGTAGTACCAGTGTCTCCTGCTGTACTCTGAATTGAGGGTTCAGTTGCAGTGGTCCCACTGGAAGAGGTCCCCAACGTTGACAGAGATGTCCATGTGGTGGATGGTTGCTCAGAGGTGGGAGAAGCGGAGGTCCCTGCCTGTGTAGTACCAGTGTCTCCTGCTGTACTCTGAATTGAGGGTTCAGTTGCAGTGGTCCCACTGGAAGAGGTCCCCAACGTTGACAGAGATGTCCATGTGGTGGATGGTTGCTCAGAGGTGGGAGAAGCGGAGGTCCCTGCCTGTGTAGTACCAGTGTCTTCTGCTGTACTCTGAATTGAGGGTTGAGTTGCAGTGGTCCCACTGGAAGAGGTCCCCAACGTTGACAGAGATGTCCATGTGGTGGATGGTTGCTCAGCGGTGGGAGAAGCGGAGGTCCCTGCCTTTGTAGTACCAGTGTCTTCTGCTGTACTCTGAATTGAGGGTTCAGCTGCAGTGGTCCCACTGGAAGAGGTCCCTAACGTTGACAGAGATGTCCATGTGGTGGATGGTTGCTCAGCGGTGGGAGAAGCGGAGGTCCCGGCCTGTGTAGTACCAGTGTCTCCTGCTGTACTCTGAATTGAGGGTTCAGTTGCAGTGGTCCCACTGGAAGAGTTCCCCAACGTTGACAGAGATGTCCATGTGGTGGATGGTTGCTCAGCGGTGGGAGAAGTGGAGGTCACTGCCTGTTTTGTACCAGTGTCTCCTGCTGTACTCTGAATTGAGGGTTCAGGTGCAGTGGTCCCACTGGAAGAGTTCCCCAACGTTGACAGAGAAGATGTCCCTGTGGTGGATGGTTGCTCAGAGGTGGGAGAAGCGGAGGTCACTGCCTGTGTAGTACCAGTGTCTCCTTCTGTACTCTGAATTGAGGATTCAGTTGCAGTGGAAGAACTAGTCATACTAGTTGGGCTTGTTTCTGTTGATTTCACTGCAATTTCAAAACATTCACATCAGTTCCAGAAAGAGCAAACAATGAATCCATAAACAATATATTTTTTCATAAACACAATATCATCATAAGTATTTATTTTTCAGAGCATGCAGTTTTGTGCTCTTGTATTCCAGCTAGGGATTTAGAAACAGCAAGCATTTTGTAAGTGCTTTAAAGAAAATATATATATAAAACACCCGTGAGCCATTTTTACTTTGCCAGCTTTCCCTTCCTGGCCCTCTTTAACCTTTCTAGATCCAGGTGATTCTGATCAGGGCGGCTCCTCTTTGGGTCACATACATCTTCAGATTCTGTTCTAAAGCTTCAGCTGGTGCTGCATCAACAACGCAAACTTTAAGCAGAAGCATTTTGATCATTCAGGACATCACCTTTAGCATTTAAACAGGCTGCCTATTTTTCTTTGGCTTGTGCTTAATGTTCTGGCATTAAAACAGTTGAGAGCACCTCAAGGAGTGACTATAGTCAAATGGACCTGAAGCTACAGAGCCTAGGGCTTGCCGATTAGAAGGTCAGCGGTTCGAATCCCCGCAATGACGGGGTGAGCTCCCATTGCTCATTCCCTGCTCCTGCCCATCTAGCAGTTTAAAAGCACATCAAAGTGCAAGTAGATAAATAGGTACCACTTGGCGGGAAGGAAAAGGGCGTTTCCGTGCACTGCTCTGGTTCGCCAGAAGCAGCTTAGTCCTGCTGGCCACATGACCTGGAAGCTGTACACCGGCTCCCTTGGCCAGTAACGCGAGATGAGCGCCACAACCCCAGAGTCGGCCACGACTGGACCTAACGGTCAGGGTCTCTTTACCTTTACCTTTACAGCAGTGGTTGGGAAGGTGAGTCTCTCTTCTCCTATTATTTTCTCCTGTATCCACATACCACTGTTTTCTCCAAGGAACTCAAGGTGGTCTACATGGTTCTCTCCCCCTTTCCACCTCACAACAACCCTGCGAGGCCTGTTTGTCTGAGAGGCAGTGAATGGCCACCCGGTGAGGTTCATCGCTGAGCGTGGAATGGAACTCTTGTGTCCCAGCTCCTTGCCCAAAACTATGACCACTACACTGGATGAGAATTGAAAGTCATAATAATATTATAATATAATAATTTATTATTTCTACCCCGCCCATCTGGCTGGGCGGCTTCCAACAAAAGATTGAAAATACATGAAAACATCAGTCAGTAAAAACTTCCCTGAACAGGGCTGCTTTCAGATGTCTTCTAAAGGCATTGTATACCTGGCCTTCTTCAAGGCCTTCTTTGTTTGGAGTCTCTCTCTGAAAAGGGTCACAATGTATTGATGGATATTCTTTCAGATGCATCAGTATCATCAGAACAATCTGAAACAAACCAGAAACTGCTTTCTGGTTTCATTGACATGTGTACATATTATGTATTTACTCTGCAGTTGTAAAAATCCAGCACATTAAATAGGGCAAGGATATCAGTACAGCTTGTGCCAGCACTGAAACAACTACAGTGGTACCTCGGGTTAAGTACTTAATTCGTTCCGGGGGTCCGTTCTTAACCTGAAACTGTTCTTAACCTGAAGCACCACTTTAGCTAATGGGGCCTCCTGCTGCTGACACACCGCCAGAGCACGATTTCTGTTCTCATCCTGAAGCAAAGTTCTTAACCCGAGGTACTATATCTGGGTTAGCGGAGTCTGTAACCTGAAGCGTATGTAACCTGAAGCGTCTGTACCTTGAGGTACCACTGTATATTAATTTCTCCTTTAATGCTCTTCAACATGTGTGCGTTCTTGGATTTTACAGGTTACCGTAATTATTTTTTTGTAATTAGGATTGTGGCATATGCTGAGTAATTTCCCCCCAGAAGTCTTTTCTCCATGAGTGAGAATTCCAGGTGTCTTTAGTGCAAACATGCTCTTTTTCACCCCTGCCTCTCTGAAGATCTTTAAAAGGGGATGGAGTCCACTTTTATGCAGAATCCAAGAACACTCCAGAAACAGTAGAACACAAATATTTTACACACACAAGTCTCTGGCTATACATGTACAGTGGGACCTCGGGTTACAGACGCTTCAGGTTACAGACTCCGCTAACCCAGAAATAGTACCTCGGGTTAAGAACTTTGCTTCAGGATGAGAACAGAAATTGTGCTCCGGCGGCGCAGCGGCAGCAGGAGGCCCCATTAGCTAAAGTGGTGCTTCAGGTTAAGAACAGTTTCAGGTTAAGAACAGACCTCCGGAACGAATTACTCTATTTTTCGCTCCATAAGACGCACCTGACCATAAGACGCACCTAGTTTTTAGAGGAGGAAAGCAAGAAAAAAAATATTCTGAACAAAACAGTGGATATATGATTTTTGTGGTTCATGCTGTGGCCACAGACATGATATGTGATTTGACGGTGAGTTTGGGGTAGCTCAATGCAAAAATCTTGAGAATCCATGTGGATCCCTGCTTTGTAACCACGTTTTTGCGCCATTGCGGCCCCACGAAACAGTGGATGCTTGATTTTTTTGGTACAGGCTGTAGCCATGGACATGCTATGTGATCTGGTGGTGAATTTGGGGTGACCCAGTCAAAAATCCTGAGGATCCATGGGCTTTTACCTCCCCGCTCCCAGGCAGCCTCCTTTATCTCTAGAGTCCCTTATCTCCCCTCCTGATCGCTTGCCGATCAGCTGCTCAGCGGCTTTGTTTCAACACCCACTTCCCTCTTTCCAAAAAAAAAAAAAAAGGCACAATCTGTTTTTTGCCCCTGGGCAATTCAGCTCCAGGGACTACGCATTCACTCCATAAGACGCACAGACATTTCCCCTTACTTTTTAGGAAGAAAACAGTGCATCTTATGGAGTGAAAAATACGGTAAGTTCTTAACCCGACGTACCACTGTACAAGTTCACAAATACAAGCTTAAAATACAAAAAATCATGGGGAAATTATGAAAAAAGAGGCTTAATTGTATAAATTCCCAATACAGCCCTTTGTTGGGAAGTCTGGAGGGCCAGTACTGGTCAGTGTAGAGGACGCAGAGGCCAATGGACCAGTGGCCTGACTCAGCAGAAAGCAACTGGGATTCTAAACAAAGGTCTTCCTGCCCCAATGCAGCTAACAGCAAGCTCCCTTAGCCCTTCACAAAGCCAAGGAGGTGGCGAACCGATCTGAGTTTCCTGCTTGGCAGGGGGTTGGACTCGATGGCCCTTGTGGTCTATTCCAACTCTATGATTCTATGAGTTGATTGAAACCCTGAGCAAGCAGCAGAAACAACATGGAAATGGGAATCTCCACTCCACAAAACATGAGAAGCAGAATCCGTTTTGAAAGCTGCAAGTTCATTCCCCAAACTCGCCAATAGGAGGAGGATAGAAAGCGCAGGGGAAAGAGGACAGAGGAAATAGTGAGATGTGCCTGAGAGGGGAGCCCAGCCAGAGGAGAGCAGCACCCCCAGAAGCATCTTGCCATGGCAGCTTGTGGATGGTTCAGGAGTGATCACAGCAGTGAATGGCTTTCCGGCTGATCCAGCTGCTAGACACACATTACGAAGGAACGTGGCAGAGTTTTGTAGGTGGAAAAAGACCCTCCTAAAGAGTTCAGCCTTCCATTCTGACTGCAAGCCGTCCAGAACCCAAACAGGGCCGTCAAATAAGCTGAAGAGTGAGACACTCAAAACAGAGAAACAATCAGAATCATAGAGTTGGAAGGAAACCTGAGAATTGTCTAGTCTGCAGGAATATGCAGCTGTCCCTTACGGGGGATCGAACCTGCAACCTTGGCGTTATCAGCACCACACTCTCGCCAACTGAGCTTCATGCGGTGCTTGTGGAACTCACTTGTGGAACTCACAGTGATGGCCTCCAACGGAGACAGCTTTTAAGGAGAATTAAATAGCTTCCTGAGGGAGGATACTAATCGCGATGGCCATGTATGAGGATGAGAGGTGGTCTGCCATAGGATACTCATCATCAGTGGGGAGAAAATCATCAGGGGAGGGCGACCACCTAGGCTTGTGGGCTTCTCACTGGGCTATCTAGTCAGCCACTGTGGCGAATGGGATGCTGGACTAGAGAGAACTTTGGTCTGACCCAAGAGCAGTCTGGCTCCCCTGATGTTCCTTGTCTGACTGAGTTTCTCTGTGAGGAGGGAATGGGACTCTGCACATGCTCCAGGGAAGTCTCTTTTTTAAAAAATAATTTAGGTATTTCGTGGATGAGCGACAGCTTCTGGGCTTGGGCTGCCATGAGCCTTGGCATGCGTTGAGCCCTGGCAAGGGGGCTGGCGACTCTCCTGTGACTCCACCCCTTCCCCAGATGCACCCACCACGCAGCTGGTTGCCCAAGCGGCAGAGTTCCCACCCCGCCACACCCACCGCATCCCGAAGGCTCCTGCGCTCCCAAATACTTACCCTCTGTGGAGGAGGCCATGACCAGCCCCGTCCAGAGGCAGAGAGCGAAGAGGCTCACCCCCATTCTCCAGTCATTGGGTCCCATGGGTTGAGGCACCAGGGGCCGCTGGCAAAGGGGAGGGCAGGTGCCAGAGGGTTTCCCAGGCAGAGGTCAAGGAGCGCACCTTCCTCCGATCAGCACCAAAGCTGGATTGAAGCTCAAAGCTCCAGAGAGAGAGCTTTTAGAGGGAGGAGGAGGAGGAAGGGGTGTCTAGCCACACCATCCTTCAAGATGCTTCTGATAAGGGCAGGGACAAGTCACATTCAGGGAGAGGCGTCCAGGCAGAAAGAGAGAATGAGGAAAAGGAAAGAAGGCCTGGGGAGTCTGAGAAGAAATAAAAGGTTTAGGGTGTGGGGAGATTAGAGGCAGAGAACAGTAGCAGTGATGCAGAGGCCACAAAAATCCAGCAATGAATTTTGGGTGACCCACTTTGGCCTCCCTGGCTTCAGGAGGCTGAGGACATCTGGCCTTCCATCTCAGACCAGTCTGGTCCTCACTGCAGCTCTGATGCTCCTCTGGTCTGCAAGACCTCCTGTGGCCTCCGTGTTCACCATCCACAATCACCGTGCAAGTGATGCTTCAGTATCTGCTCACAACT